TCAGGCTTTATGCCATCTCCATCTAACACATGGCCCAAGTATAGAACTTGCGCCCTGGCCCATTCGCACTTCTTCGCGTTGATCTTGAAGTTAGCTTCTCTCAGCTTCTCCAAGACCTCCCTCAGATGGCCCTCATGCTCCTGGAGGGTCTTACTAAACACTAAGATATCATCCAAATATACGACTACGAATCTATCTAACCACGGTCTAAACAAGTCGTTCATACAACGCTAGAAAGTAGCTGGAGCGTTGGTTAGTCCAAAGGGCATCACTATAAACTCATAGTGCCCATATCTAGTCCGGAATGCGGTCTTGTACTGATCATCGGGATGGACCTCTATCTGATGATATCCGGACTTCAAATCTATCTTTGAAAGGTACTTGCAGCCCTGCACCCGATCTAATAGATAATCTATACGGGGCAGTGGTTCTGCATTCTTCACTGTAATCGCATTAAGACCCCTATAGTCTATACACATCCACAACTCTCCCTCTTTCTTGGGGACAAAAAGAACTAGTGCTCCGAAAGGAGACGAACTGGGCCTAATCCAACCCTTCTCGAGAAGCTCGTCTAACTGCTTGCGCAGCTCCTCTAACTCCCTTGGAGACATTCTATAAATTGCTCCCGTAGGAGTCTATCTCTATCCGATGTTGGATCGGTCGCGACACTACTCTTGTTGGCGGCTCGGTTAAATCCTCGAACTCTTCCAGCAACTTTGCAATGGTTGGATCCATGGGGCTGTCCTGTTTAGGCTCAGTGACAGGTCTGATATAAACTACGACGACTTGATCCTCTAACTGCTACTTTCTCACCAATCGCGCGAACGTGGGAGCACTAAGACAGCAATGCGCCAGTGAGTTATCTACTCCTGACACATGAAACAGGCGGGTCGTCTTAACCTCGCCTGATGGACTAGGGAGCCTACACTCATGCTCTCGCAAATGGAGTGTGGCCCCTGCTGCCTCTCCCCAGTCCATTCCTAGGACTATGTCTACGAGGAGAGTCAAGGAATGGAGGACCTTCTCTACCTTTCCATCCTGCTCTAGGCGAGAATATGCCTGGACTCCCTCTACATATTCCTCGATTCGCATTATGCGATTGTCTGCGAGGATACTAACAATAGGGTCTTCTAACTTCTGAACTTTCAACCCCAACTTCAACTTCTGCAGCGCCTTCCTACTAATATAGTTGCGCGTGGCCCCACTATCTATAAGGGCCCCTACTCTGCCTCTAAAAATCTCTACATCCACTAATACTAGCTGTCCCTTTGCCTCTTTCTTCATCTTGGCCCAGGCGGGCATCCTCTCCTTCAACTCCTCTGCCACGCCTGTGAGGGAGGTGCCTAGAGAGACTCTAACACAAGCAGTCTCCGGACAGCTATCTAGGCACCGACCAGCAACCTCTGCCATGGGCTCATGCAATTTGGGAGTTTCTCTCTGTTGTGCGCGCTCTTCCCTGCATGGCCCTGGGATACGGGCAGTTGCCACCCCTATCGGCGGTTGCCTTTTGCTGCTCGGGCTTCCCTATATTTGGGGCAGTACTTTATGATATGACCAGGGTCACCGTAGTAAATGCATTGATCCCGGTCAATCCTCTGCTGCCAAACACTCTGTTCCAAGCCCAAGTCTTCCCACGGTCTACCCTGTGGCAACCCAGGATGCCATCCTCCTCTTCCATATGATGACCGATTATACCTAGAGCGGTTTTGCGGGGGACCTTGACCTCTACCTCCCGCTTGGCGGTTACCTCTGCCGCCAACCCCCTGATCGCCCTGCCCTCGACCACCTGAAGCCTGGCCCCCTTGGCCCCGGCCTCCTCCTCTTCCTTGCGGCCTCCCTCCAGCCGTGACACCAGCGTAAGTCCTCCCCTGGCTTGCACTTCTGTCCCCCTCTTCCTCTTCAAGCCCCCACTCTATCTGATCGTAGGGGACTTCTTCCATGCCGCCCTCATCTAAAGTTAGGATTAGGTGATCCTTGCCCTTGACCTGTCCTGAAATGATGCGGCCTTTCCACTTCTTCCCCTTATCCTGCAACAAGGCGCCACCTTCACAGGTTAGTACCGGACTGAGAGAGAGAGAGAGAGTGCTTCTTCTTCCTCTTCTAAGTCCACCATCTCTTCCTCACCCTCTCGCTATCTGACTTCTCAGTATCTGCAGACAACGAGAGAGAGAGATTGGTGACTTTGGGACTTGACAACATTTGGATCCAGACTCGACTTTGGGATTCAGACATTTGACGAGGGATTATTTGGGACCTGTACCGAAGACTTGGTGTTGACGACATTCCCATCTTCCCCTCTTCTTCGTCTAACCCCCCTCTTCTTCGTCTGTGTATGGTTGGGGACTGGCGCATTTTTCGTGTGTGAGCGCCAGGCCCCTTCACACCATGGAATGATGATGATGTATGTTTGGTCTGCACTGCAACATTGATTGTTCGGATCATTGGTATATTAGCCTTCCGCTGCGCTAGCTTGTACTATGTGAGAGAGGTTGGTTCTTGTTCTGGTCTGCACCTTTACGGTATGCGACAGTTTGGTATCGGAGCGGACCTCTCATCAGAGGACCCGCTCAATCAAGTAGCCAGCTTGCTTGATCTATTGATTGTTGAATGATTGATTGATTGATTGATTGATTGATTGTTTATTAGTAAATCAAGTTGGACTTTGAAACGGTATTCACCTGCTAGCAGTAGCGAATGCAGATCCCATGGCTCGATCCCTAGACTTTACCTTACCTGTGTACATTACCTGTGTCGACCCCGAGAGTTGAACCCGTGACCTGTGTAATCGTAACAGTTGGTAGGTTGTCGTAGGGTCTGTAGGTTGTAGGGGTTCGATCTGTAGACCTGTCAAGCAGAGATCTTAGCAAGTTCTAGAAGTCGTAGCTGCTACAGTCCCGAAAGGCCAAGTCGTAGCTGCTACAGTCCTGAAAGGCCAGGTCGTAGCTGCTACAGTCTTGAAAGGCCAAGTC